CTTACATCCTCTTTCAAAGGATTTAGGCAGCTAGCCAGCTGCATTTAAGGGGTTTCTTGAATCTGAATTGGATCAGTGTTAAGCACTGTGATCTCACGTCTGAGTCGTGTGTTTGTTGCTTATGGGAGTTCCACTTACACAAATTGTTCTGAGGGCAGAACAAAAAAAAAAAGATTGGTCCAGAGAGCGAACCAATCAGATTGTAGAGGAGGTAGGTCCAAGCAACCAGAGGAGGCGGGACCAAGACATCTGATTTGTTGATCCTGCCTCCAGTAGTTGGCTGGAGTTGGTTATCTCTCTGGACCAATCATTTTTCATTCTGGCCTCAGAACATTTTTTTTGTGAGTAGAACTCCCATGAGCGTGTTTGATTGCCACCTGTGCACGTGTGTGTGTGCTTCCCTTATTTGCGTTTAGGGCCTCAAAGTGGACCGATGGTCCTCCACAGTCTAGAGGCATGAATCACTGTTTGTAAGTTGCCCTTAGTATACCGAAGTGGGGGCCTTATAGTGTGTCCTCTCCTGTGGCTTCTGGGATTCACTCCAGCTTTATTGTAGCCCTGCAATGAATAAATGATCCTCAAGTAGACTGACTAATAATATATGGAATAATAACATATATAACATATAATGTGTGTGTGTGTGTTTTAATTACCAGAGCTTACGGATTAGCACTCATGAGAATAAAGCACCCAGTATTTTAGGTGGAAGGTATGGCTATTTATTGCATTCTGTGACCAATTATGTAACAATTAAAAGCGCATTACTGATATATAAAACACTTTCCCTGCATTAGCTGATGACATAAACATGATCTTATCTATCTGTCAGCACTGACTATCACTTAGTTGGCTACATCATGTTTCATGCATACAGATTAATGTGAGCAAAGTCTGAGGGTCTTCTGGTGACGTTTAACATTGAGTGAAGGAACCTTCGTGTTATGGTACGTGTAGCTAAGGAAAGGAACGCTCGTTTCTGTACCTGCAGCAAAAAAGCGACCCACTTGTTTCCTTATGTTAGCGACATTTAAGGTACTTTCATGTCTCGGTACATATAGCTAACGACAGGAACCTTCTTGTTAACGTACATGTAGATAACGAAAGTAGCATGAATAAAATGACTTTCTATTCGATGCTTTTGGGATTGCAAAGTCTGTTGTGCCTTTTTATTTAATTTTTCATTTAAACTCAGTGAACCAATTACTGCTGGGGTGGGGCAATTATCGCTGATGCGTATTGCTCCAGATTCCCATTATATATTCTACTATTATATTCAGTTCAGGATTTATATATACACACTGTACCCTTGGTTGCATAGTTGCCCTGGAGTGCTTCATGTAACAGGTAACACTAGCGTTTCACTACGAACATCATTACAGTTATGTAATTAAACATTATGCAACAGCAAATGTGTTGTGGAAAATTCCAAAAGGTCCGTGGGACAATAAACAAACTTGACAGTAAAGGTGGGGATTGTGAAAAGTGGCCAGTCGGCCTCCTAACACACCCAGGTCTGCTCACGCCGGTCCAGGGCTGACCCCAGAGCAGCGTGGTACTATTAGCTAAGCACGTCAGCAGCACCGTGGGAGACTCATCTGACAGGTCTGCTTCTGAAGGCGTGGAGATCCCGAGGAGATCTTCCTTCTGGGCACAGAGGTGACCAGGGACCAGAGAAGGTCAGCAATATGACAGATATATAACGAATCGTAGGGAGCCGCTGTAACTGAGCCAAGCTTGACTAAAGCAGTAGATTTTCGGTCCTGATTTCAATGCCTAGTGCACAGAGGCTGCCCTGACAATGACCATCCGAGCGTTTTGTGTTTTAAGGACCTTTTCAATGAAGGATTTCCTGTTTACAGTTGTATTATTATTCCCTTACTCATTACAGACACAAACATCAATAACGGGAAAGCTAACTATGCGCACAATTAAATTAAAGGTCAGCCTGTCCCCGGGTGGTTGGGAAGAGGACTAATGGGCCAGTAGTCTTTGCCAGTATCTCCTGCCTGTTGGAGTTGGCCAGCATCTCTCAGCGATCTGTCGAAAGTCCTGCCAGGCGCCCCCTAGAGGAGCTGTTTGGAAGCAGTGGATGGTGTGAGTTGTACTCCAGCAGGTACTAGCGCCGTGTAGCCTATAGCATAAAAGAAAAATGCCACAAGTCTTGGAGTTGGAGTAGAAACTACCTCAGTGCTCAAGGTGTCTGGGCAACTTTTGGGGGGGGGGGACACACGCTGGTCTCCGTCAGAAGTGGGGTGGAAATCAGGGGAATGAGTAAAAATAGCCCCCTAACGGTGTACCGTGATCGATCATGATGTGGTTCTTATTAATGGAGGGTTGATCATGGTCCATTTATCTGTTTCAAGGTCGCACTTGGCTTGTCCATGGACCCCTTCCTGTCCCCCCCCCATCTGAACCATCTCTGATGTCAGTCGGAAAGTTTCTTACTTCCAAGCTAAACCCCAGCGGTGACAGCCCTGTGTGTCAGCCATAATTCTTTTCGTGTTTAACTTTTCCCGCACTTTGTTCTACAAGTTGGTCGAAGCAGGGAAGTGACCTTAATTTCAGTTCCATACATCTGCATGTCTCCTGAGGACTCGATTTCCCAGCGTTCATGGTTATATAGAGCACTGCTATTAAGGCTGTTGTCTGGTCCTTTCATTTTAAACTAAAAGATGGTCAAAATACTAGTTACATGGAAAGCGGTGCAGCTTAATTATCCCCAGTGGTAGTGAGCAAGCTAATTGCATACATTGGCCTACATATAGTGTATACACATTATAAGAATTTGAAACTGAAATAATTTAACAAAATATGGGAAGATTATAGGACATTTATTGTCCACATGGCTTATGTGGCTAGCTGACATTGGCTAACAGTTTTAGCTTATTGTCAATACTGTTTGAGGCATATAACATAGTGATATAAAACCACAAATAATTTGAGACACTTCTTTGCCGCAAGGAACCCAGTTATGGGGAAAAAAGGATTTCAGTCTTAATTTTAACATTTCGAAGTGACATCACCCCCACATATTCAAATCCTATTTTCTCATTGTACCGCATTAGGCATTTTAACTGTGGTACTTATGTAAACACAGTGAAGTTGTTGTCAATTTTACACGCATATGCAGGCCCTGTGGATCAAATGCTGAGTGTGGGAAGTATAATTCTTATCACTACGTTTTTACTGTAGTAAAAGGAGCACTGAGGAGAGGGGGAGTGGGGTAAAATGCCTAATAGTGAGCGGAACAGCCTTGGCGCTGATGACCGCATTAGCGTGAGCGCCCTAATGCTGATGATAGAGACCCGATGTGGGGGCCAGCGAATCGCACTGAATGAAGTCATTGACCTCCTCTTCCCGGGATGCCCCCCCCCCAAAACTTACTCCTGCACAGAATCCGATTACTGTCTGCATGCTTATTGTCTTCGCTACTTCCACGTGCTCTGACTTACCGGAGCCCATTAGCGCGCGCGTGCTCAGCTGGCGTGCCGCTTCCGCGCCTGCGCAAAATGAACTTTCCTCGGGGTGCTTATTTAATAGGGCGGCGGAAAAACGCGTGTATTTTTTATATATAACGTGTAATGCGGAATAATAATTAGATTATTTGTACTATAAGCTGTAACTGGAACGTGAATAAGTGAGTCTCGTAACCTACAGACGCTTGTGGGTGAAGTAATGGAAGAATAGGGCGTTATGGATTATGTTGACATTTTTAATTAGTTTAATAAAGGGATCCGCTCTAAAAACGAGGTAAAATCACTGCCTTGATGTTTTTAAAGCTCTGTTGAGTGAACATTGCATATAGCACAGAGCACTAGTGGTATGCACAGCATAATAAATACACATTTTGATAGTCTTTACAGTTTTTTTATTATTAACAAAGGGCTGAATTAACTTAAGTCTCTTTTAGCAATAATACAAAGTGTGTGTGTGTGTGTGTTTTTTTTGTTTTGTTTTTTTTTTACCGGAGAATTTGCATTTATTAATATGATATTTTGCCATTAATATGACAAAGTTTATTGCATAAAATCTCATACTAGCTCGTTCATCATTGTCAAATATTCCGAACAGTAATCACTGCCTTGTTGTCAGCTACTTAATTTCTGCGAGCAATGTGTCATGAGCTTGAACCAACACGGGAATCTCTCCCGCACAGATTTCTCGGCTGGACAAATCTGAGCCGCCTGTGAAATGTGCTGTTAGTTACTTGATTTTTATTTTTTTTTGTATCGGTACGTTTCATGGATCCAGGCTTTCGGCAGGCTCCCAGTTCCTTACATAATCAGAGATATGGTGTCTGACTCACCTCTGCGTAGGTGTAACCCGACCACAGTCAGGTGCGAGCGATCAGAGGCGAGGGGGTCGATCTGGGCTGCAGGACGAACTGTGCCTTCCTAGGGGAGGGGAGGGAGTGGGGGGGCAGTTCTGACCTGTGCCTTCATTTCTTCATTTCAAAGATGCTGGATGATGTTGGTTGTTTCTTTTTGTATTCTTGTTCTCCGAACGAGTGAGTGAAATCTGTGTAAAGAAAAAAAAATGGCGCACTTTTTTTTTTTATTCCTGAATACTCGCATGTGTTGTATGATGCACTGACCTTTAAAGTTGATGTACTGTATAGAAGGCCCTAGATTTCAGAGGGTGGTTTGGTCAGGACTGCGATGCACTGGAATCCCATCCCTGGTGTCCCTGTTTGTACCCTGTCCTTCCCGGGATAAGGTCCCCGGATGACCTCCTCTATTTACATCAGCATTTCTCAATCCAGGCAAGTCACGTTTTTGCTTCCGTCTGGCAGGGAGCTGGGAGGGAGCAAAAACGTGGACCGGCTGTGGGTCCTCGAGGACCGGATTGAGAAGCACTTATTTTTCATGAAAAGTGGTGATGGACAGTGATACTGACACAGTTTCCTATTTTTTCGCTACATTATTATTATTATTATTATTATTATTATTATTACCGCATTTATTATCATATTGTTTACCACGATTTTTTTTTGTCTTAAGTTTGTTCGCAGTTTTCCAAAGGAGTGTACGCCATCATCGGCCTGTATGACAGGCGGACCGTGAACATGCTGATGTCATTCTGCGGGGCGCTGCACGTCTGCTTCATCACGCCCAGCTTCCCCATCGAGGCCTCGAACCAGTTTGTGATCCAGCTACGGCCCGAGCTGCAGGACGCCCTGGTGGCCATCATCGAGCACTACAAGTGGAGCAAGTTCGTCTACATGTACAGCTCGCACTCCGGTCAGTGTGAACCGTCCCAGCTAGCGTTTCTTCAAAAAGCCGCGCATTCCTGTTTATTTAGTGGCAGAGGTGGACATTTCTGGTCCAGAAAGTAAAAATCCAGACCAGGATTTTGTTTCAACCAACCACTTGAGTACTATATGACTGTGACTCTGGATGCTCAGCTGGTTGGATGAAACAAAATCCTGGTCTGGATTTTTACTTTCTGGACCTGAAATGTCCACCTCTGTTTAGTGGACACTATTATCGGAAGCAACGTACAATTGAGAGAGTAGGGTGAGGCAGTCACTGGAGAGATTGGGGTTAAGGGACTTGCTCAATGTCCCAGTGGTGACATCACTCTGCCAATCAAGGGATTTGAACCAGCAACCTTCCGATCACGGGCAGCACAACAAGTAATGTAACCATATATAAAATATAACACATATTATGATTAAACACTTGTAGAATACAGAACGTTCTGAGCCTCCTTTCGCTGAATTCTTACTTATCTTACCATAGTGTACATATTTCCTACAGGAAAATGCAGTGCCAGGGGAGTATTCACACATCCTGGGTTTTTTTTGTCACATTTTCTGTGAAATGTTGTGCAGATCAGGGGGAAAAAAAAAACAAATTAAATGCATCAGTAAAATTCTGAAGACGGCCAGGTGGCCGTAATGGCGTAGAGCTTCTGTCCGACGCCGTGTGTCTGTGACGTTGCCCATTGTACTCTGCTTTTCCAGTGGCTGCCTTGTGTGATTAATTAATGCTCAGTCGAGAACAACAGTCTTCGCAGGTATGAGAAATTAAGGGAATGCACGGTCTCTGGATTTAATGACAAATGGCTTTCTGAAGTGTGCAGTTGCCAGAGACCTCGGTGAAATGCAGGACCGGTCCTCTTATATGATAGTGAGCTATTTGGTCTAGGAGAGATGAGCCAAACTTTACTCTTACTGATATTCTACTTTCAATTATATCTTTCATCAGGCTATAATCATTACTGAAAAGCTATATCAGATAATGGAAGAACAGGACTTTCTGTAACACGGAATAATCAACAGCTGATGACTTTTGCTTATGTTCTTATTTCATATTTTTTCTTCTATACTGTGGTCCATTTGGCAGTTAATACTGCAGTGCCATTCCGCATATTTATTACTTATTTGTTTACTCGTTCTTATTGTTCTTGAAACTTAGGAACTCTATGTGAAATGGACTTGAATTAGCTTGCGGTTTAGAGTCTGTGGCCAGATTATTAGATACAGCTGCTTGCGAACACAAACAGCCAGCAGCCACTCCATGCAGTGAAGCATGTGGCTGACAGTGAATACATCCAGCACAAAGACAATGTACAGAAGTAGATAGATAGATAGAGAGAGAGAAAGAAAGAACTTTATTAATCCCTCAGGAAGCTTCCTCCGGGAAATTCAGTTTCTAGTAGCAACATAGCACCATACAACATACAGTTACACATACAGTTACACACATAGTACAATTATGAAATCAAAGATAAAAGAGTTAGACAAAGAGTAAGTCGTGGAGTGGATGAGACGTATGATTTTAAGCAATCAGAATGTGTGATTGTTGGTGTCAGACACAGTGGTTCCGGAATCTCACCAACAGCCACCATCCTGCAGTTTTCACACGCCACAGTGCCTAGACTTTACAGAGGACGGTGCAATAAACAGAAAACATCCAATCAGTGGCAGTTCAGTGGGTGACAACCTTGTTAATAGGGCCAGGGAAGAATGGCCAGCCCCCTGAAAGCTAACAGGAAGGCTGCAAGTGCAAAAATCACAGCTCAGTTCGACAGTGGCTAATACACATCTTGTCTTCCCTTGAGTGGTTTGGTAGGCAAGAGTACTAGCTAGGTAAAGCTAGGTGGCCACTGACTGGATTTGTATTAATTAGACGCTTCTAGCCCAGAGCTAGTGTGTTCGGTTGCCGTTCAGTGGTATTTCAGTATGTACTGAATCTTGTTTCACATGGAAGAGAATTGCATCCTAAGGGAAACAAAGAATAAAGTCGATTGCGGTAACACTTTACTTCTGGGGGCTCAAGTAACTTAGTTACTCAGTTACTACTCAAGTACAAATCATGAGGAAATATAGTAACTGCATGAAATACATGAACCGTCATGATTTATTAATGATGAACGAACATGAGATCAGTACTTAACTAACACTTAGTTTCTGGTTAATTAATGCATTAATTAAGAGTATACTACTGCAATATTTGTGCCCCTTCAAGTAAACTGTTACCCCAATGGCTTAAGTCATTTCTTCATTGTCTAAGTCTTATCATGCATGTTTCTGAATTTCTTCTTTATTCTGGCTTATTGTTCATAAACTTGGTTGGCTGGTCATACCTCTCTTTCCCACGTTCCCCAAATTGAGACAACTGGATCTCCTAACGGACTCCGTGTTTTATCGATTCCTTCGCGCCCACCGATCCGCTCCGCACTCACACTGTGGCCTGAAGGTCATCGATTCGCATTCAATGCACCTGATCTATAATGCAGGAGCAGAGACGCATCCCGCTGCCGTCCCCATACAGTAATGATCTCACGGGGCTCAGCGACAAGGCAAGAAATTATCTCTCTGCGGTCTCCATAAACATTTTAATGCGTTCTTATATTACATGGTCATGACTGATGAGGATTCACAGCACTGTCCTTGTACTATACACGTCTCACAGGATCTTATTACCACCATAAAGCTCATCTCATGTCATCTCAAACACAAATGCAGATAAATCTCTGTAAAGAGACAGACTTTCTTTTTCAATCTATTGTCCAGGGCACTTAGATTCAGGCAAATTGAAATATTCCTGCGGTTCTGCTCACGCTGGGTGGAGAATTGCTGTGGTCCCCCGGAGCTGGCGAGCACCACGTCAAGAGGAATAAAGCCGGTCTCGCACGTTCCGGCGTTTTTCACACCGTTCGAAGGCTTGTGTGGCATGTCACGCAAATGGATAGTGGCTTTTGTTCTGCTCCAGAGACTTCTACGGTTAGACTTTTCCGGCGGTCGGTTCATATTTATTTTTGCCTGCCTGAAACTATTGCACCCCAACAGCTTCCACAAGAATTTCAAATAGGTCATTTTAGCTGGAAAATTATTGAAATGGCCTAATTTAACGTGATGATGAATGGAGAGTGCTGACTGGGTAACATTAGTCACAGAGCAAAGAATGTTTATATATGTTAGGATGGGGTACCAACGCCAGAACATGTAACAGAAAATGTACACACCCCCATTTCCCCGGCACATTCCACTGAAGCGCTGACCAGGGCCAATTGTAGGATTGGTACCACTTTACGATAAGACTACCCTTATAAAGGGTTTATCAGTAGTTTATAATCGGATTATTAATTATGTTATAACACTTTGTGAATCATGAATAGACAGTCATGAACAAGTTATAACAGTTTTCCTTTTATTAATGAGTTATTACTGTTTATAAGCAGCACAAGGGAGCCTTATGGATGGATTGATGGATGGATAAGGGTACCCCCATCCCACCAATAATATTTGTACAAAATGTATATGAAAGTATGGGGCAAATCTTCAAGTGGCTTTATCTAAATTATTTTGCAGGAGGGCTCTGCGTGAGCCCCACTAAAAACATTCTAGAATCTGAGCGATGCTTGCGGAGCTGGGTGCTGGCAGACCGTTTGACCATGCGGATCCTCCCCAGCCCGGTTGTCCCTGCGGCTGCGGTGCCCGTCGTGCCCTAATAGAGCCTTTGAACCTGTTTGCCGGCACCCACCGATTTCCCAGCATGCCACGGCACTGGTGTGTAATCAGCGGCCTCAAGCTGCTTGCTGCGGCTTGCAGCTCATTTTCGAGATTCAGCTTCAAAAACAAAGATCAATAATGTCGCTAAGCTAAACCTAGACGGGCATGAAAGTCGAATTTCCGTTGAGGTGGTTAGCGGACTGATTTACAGATAACACCTGTGAAAAATAATGTAAACGTTATCACTGTAACGGGTTTTTTTTTGTACTTAACGTTTATATACTTTTTATGCTGGATGCATCATTTATTCTTCTACAAGATGATGATTAAGTGACTGTAAACAAATTGAATTGGCATCGTGACCTCAGGGATTGATGTAATAGCACTCGGAAGATACATATGTGAATTATTTAATTGAGAAAGGAAATGAGAAAGAATAGAATATTATTATTATGTAATATTATAAATAAATCAGAATTTTGTCCTTAAGTCAGCCTTCAGTTCATTTTCCATCTGGCAGTCTTTTACTTAAACTATAAAACATAGAAATGTGATAATAGACAGCAGTGATTTTCCATGACTCCAAGAGTTTTTTTTTAATAATCCTTTTTAAAATTTCTATACTTGCAGTAAATCACAATATAATTTGTTAGAAGGTAGATGGCAGGAGAATGAGGCTGATATTTAAAAATGGATGATTTTTGAAAGCATACAGACCTTTTCTAGTTTGTACTTAATGCTCTGAAATTAATGTTTCCTTTAGATACTCTGTGATTGATGTGTATGACAGAAGTAGCATTCATTGACTGTAATGCATACTTTAAACTCTAGGAATTTGATAGATGGATACTTAATTATGAAGCATATCAGTGTTATGAAAATGAAAAGTGACAAGCAAATTGGGCACGAAACAGCTTTTTTTCACCCTCATTCAAATGCAGAGATTTTGTGACAATTTGCAAAAACATGGATGTAAGGTGGAAAAAAAAAAGCCAAGCAGAGCTGAAGGACAAGGACGGAATTGGGAGTATGAGGGGTGTAAAATTAGACACAAACAATGGAGAGAGTGAAGGAGGAAAACAAACCTGGATTTGTGTCGACAGATCGAGACTCAAGGCTAGAGTGTTTGCTTTGCTCTGTCTGGCGTGAGAACAAAAACAAAAGAGCAATATTAGTAAAATAGTGTCATGTGACTTTGCCCTACTCTATGAAATCAGTGCTTTTCCCAAAATCTTACACGTATAGTAATTTTTAAAAAGGCGCCTCTCTTAACTGTTAGACCAGACACATAAATGGAGTAGGATCAGGACTATCTGATCTATATAGAAGGTACAACCTGTATTTGTTTCGCTGATAATTATGGATGAGTCAGACTTACATCATCTTGTCTTGGCTGCGGCTAAGTGTGGCGGGGGACGGCTGTGACTATCGAAGGGAAAAAGCCGGGTCTCAGGGTGACAATGCTCAGCTAGGTGTAAGTGGGCAGTAAATTAAAAATAATACCTGGTTTCCCCTTGGGAACTCTGTGGTTCTCTGACCCCTGAGTGAATCTTTGACTGGCTTGACTGGGTCCCCTGGGGGCTTCACAATACTACCAGTGACCTCCCTCCTGCCTGCCTGGCTGCTGTACCACTCTTCATCCTGCCCTCAGAAGCAGCACCAGCACCCGCCTGACCTCTACATCGAGATTCGACTCTTAAATTTTGGACAGTGTGAATCGGGACTTTGCCATCTTGCTCACTTGACTTTGACTTCCTCTGCTGCCCCCTGGAGGATGGGCTCCCCCTTTGGGTCTGGTTACTCCCAAAGTTTCTTTTTTGCAGGAGAGTTTCCTTGCCACTGTCGCTTCTGACTTGCTCACTGGGGGCTTTGGGTAGGGATAGTGTAAAGTGCTTTGAGACAATGTAATGTTGTGAAAATGCACTATGCGAATTGAATTGAATTGAATTGAACTCAACTGAACTGAACAATAGTGACTGTTCTACTGGTGTAAAAACTCTGCTGCTGTTAAGCTGGGGGCCGGGCCGATATCAACCAAAACACCAAAACATGAAATGACGAGCTGTTTGGCATATGATGAAAGGCAGACCTGCTCCTTGAGAGGATGCAGGGATGGCGGTCTTTATAAAGTATGCCAGTGTTCCGAGGTTAGGGCCCTGTTGACCACAAACTGACTCTACAGGGGGGGCAGCAGGGACCCCAAAGTTACTTTTTGCGTGAGGCCCCAGAAACAGCAAACCCTGCCCTGTTTAAAAACGGCATCGGCGTTTGCCTGCAACTGGCTGCTAATACAGTGATCTGAGCTTGAATAAAACGGCTCATTGAGGGAACTGCGGCTTTTTGGATTCTGCTATATTCTCTTTATACTGCTGGATGGAGACTCTCCTGTTACATTCTGGTTCTTTTGATGCCTTTTGTTTTTGAAGATGAAGCTAATACTTTTCTGAATTCCCCAGAACACTTCAGACTTCAAAAACTGTTACATACATTTAGAAAGTAAAATTGTCTTCTATAGCATTTTCTTGCATCATAAACGTATTTCTCACAATAAATCAAGGCTATTGTTTGAAATATATATTAATAAGAAACTCTGTCCCGTTTCATACTGTCTTCATTCTCCCCAGCCTGCTGGTAATGCATTTGTGACTGGCCGCTGTTTTTTATCTGCTATTGTCCCTACTTCAGGCATGACAGCTTTGCAGAAGGTTCTGGACACAGCTGCAGAGAAGAACTGGATGGTTACCTCCATAAACCTGCTGACTATGACGGAGGCGGCCTTTCTGAAGGTCCTCCAAGACCTGGACAAGAAGAAGGAGGGGCAGATCATTATGGACTGTGAGCTGGAGAGGCTTTCCTCCATCCTCAACCTGGTGAATGTCTCTCTCCCTTTCTCACTCTCTCGTTTAATATATGTACTTTAATAGAGGCATGTGAGCCAGGGCTCTGTACGGAGGCGGGGCCACAGGGTCACTGACCCCATCTGAAAGCTGATTGGCCCCAAGAGTGCCCCCTGATCTGTCAATCACTGATTCAAAGCATGTCATTGGCTGATAAGGTTGACCTTCCAGTATGAATTACTGCATGAATGGATGGATAGGTGGATCAGGAATAGAAAACACCCAAATATGTTGATGAACATATCCTTCCTAGGCCCATTTTAAAAAATGTTTTGTAAATAAAACTTCCATGAAGTCCTTCAAAAGCATCTATTCTGCATCGCGCTTTCAAAGACCATAATTGCAAAGCAGGAACAGAACAGTTTCCATACCACTTATAGCTTTTAGCGGTGAGGCGCTGACAAGGGAAGAGATTCCGCCCTTATACCTCTCCAGGTTTAATAGAGTTCCCTTTGGGTATCGCAATTAATATCGCTCGGAAGTATCAGCGTGTGTCCGGGAAAAGCGACAGCGCGGAGAGAGAGCGCTCACGTATTCAACATGCTTGCGTGCCTCCAACCAGAAACTGCCTTTCCTCTGCTGTGATCTTCATGCAGCATAAAAACCAGGATAGTTCCCTTATGTTTTTATTTGTGCGTCCCTGATGCATGCTGTCATTGCTGCCGGATGCCTCTGCACGCTGAATGAAATAGCGATGATCTCAGACACTCTGTAGGAAATTTATTATGTACTGATACATACAGTAAGGTGTCGTTTCTTAAGCTCAATACCTCGTGGAGGAGAATCTTTACGCTCGCCGTTACCGCCTCTAGCTTTTGACTCCGCCGCTGCCGGAGTGTCTCCAGGAAGCACCATTCACCGGTTTCCCCTTTAATAATGAATCTTCTCCCTGGTGGCGTGCAGCCTCCTCATCTCTGGCCCCGAGGGGTGTGTCATTCCCGACTCCCTTTTAGTGCCAGGTTACTAAGTGCTCTAATGTCAGTTTTTTTTGTGGTTCAGTGCTCAGGAAACTTTTTTTTTTTATTTTTTTGGTTTCTGTGCTTCGTCTGTGGGGAAAAATGAGTTTTAAGTGAAATTGCCATTTTACCATTTCAAAGGAAGATCACCTATGACCTACCCTGTCAGGAAAATAGTACCAAATTTGTGCCTTTGAGGGGACAATCACTGGGGCTGTACCCTCAAGGGTCTGCCAATTATATCCTAGCCGTAGATAAATGTACGTTTTGTACCATTGGTGGTACATTAACGTTGTTTGTACCATGGGGAACAAAACCGTACCTGGGCTGTACCCTTTAATCTGACAGTTGCTTGAATAGGTGTACAGGACTCTGGATTTTAGTCTGTCGTTATAATGAGTTTTACTTCCTACGCTGGGCCGTGGGCGTGAGATATTAATTAAATTTCTGATCAGATGTAATCAAAAATGACCTTTCTGTCGCCGAACCATCCAAAATGATTGATTATTTAAAGGTGTTAAAAGCATCATCCATGAAGGATAATGTGTAATTATCTCTATTGAAACCCTGTAAGCTACAACAGAAGGGAAGACGAAAGACGGAACGCGACAGAATCACTGTCTGACACAATTACCGTAATTACAGTCCCGACGCACGGGGGGGGTAGTTGGGTATTCGCGATTGCACGTTTGTTTTTGATCGTTGCGCGGTACACGTGCGTAGTCGTGAAACCACCGAATCACTGCCCCTTGGGTGCAGAGGTCCACCCCGCTTTCCCATTCTGCAGCCAAACATACCGCTGACCTCAGGCACGTGAGGGATCTCCAAGAAAATGAGGCAGATATGGACTACAGGGAAGATACAGGTATAGAAAACCGCTTAGTGGGAGTGCTTCATGTGCAGCACAAGAACTGTTGGACGTACCGGAAGGTTTATTTGCCCTAGATTAATGCTGCAACCTTGTACTAGAGAAGCGGTTAAAGAAGATGGATGAAATATCAAGAACTGTCCAACTGACCTTCTATTAATTTATGGTAAAGTTAAAATTGGGGCAGAATTTGAAAGAAATTAATTTTAAAAACAGTTTTTTGTTTAATTTCATTCCAGATTGCAGCTCAAGGGAGGAACCTGAAAAGCTACCATTACATACTGGCCAACCTGGTGAGTAGCCAGAAGCGGTGGGTTTCCAGTGCCACTGTACAGTGAGACTGTGACGGGTGCTGTCGCTTTCCCATTGGTCGACTTGGGGCAAGGCCGTCTCTCTCAGAAGCCTGGGGTGTGGGAACAAAAGGAACCGAAACACGTTTCAACTGGCTCATCTGTGGAAAGGAAATTGGACACTCAGAAACATCTGTAACGTTTCCTATACGAGTCAACTATCTAACACTGGAACTGGATAGAACACATATATGGAAATGTTAAGCCTCATAGCGATAATCAGGAGTGGCCACATATATGTAATTAGATAGCAGAGGTGGACAGTTCAGGTCCAGAAAGCAAAGATCCAGACCATGGTTTTGTTCCAACCACCCAGCTGAGTACCCCGTTACTGTGACTCTTTATACTCAAATGGTTGGTTGGAACAAAACCTTGGTTGGGATTTATACTTTCAGGACCTGAACTATCCACCTCTATTAGCATAAAATACTTAAATCAACTCAAAATAAAAATACCTAACGTTTTGCTTCCTAAGGCCGTTCAGTGGGGAATATTAGAGAGATGATGAACACTGAGTGGCTGGCTGACCTACTCTGCTGTCGAAACTAAGTCTCTGTGGACTTTATGATTATATTCGGCCGAAACCGCGGCCTAAAGCAATGTGGAGGTCAGCCTGGAGAACACGTACAGACAGTACTGTAGGTGTGTTTCGCGGTAGACAGAGAACATCGGCACTAGCAGGTATAATCAGGGTCTGTCGATCGTGCCTGTGTGATATTGTGACCCAGGTGACATCACCATGCTGAATGCAAAACATGTCGATTTAACATTCGAGTTCAGAGATCAATTCACGGTTCAATCTGTGCAAATCATAACCAGCAGCTGGAACCTAGCTGTACGGGCCTAATGTGCAAAGGTGGGGTTAAATATTTAACGCAGAGCAGTTTTATCGGCAAAAACAGAAAGACAGCATGTTGTTCCGCGTGCATCAGGCAGCAAAGACTGGGCCTAGACTCACTGGGCTTTGTAACCGGCAGTGATGCCCCAGTCCATCCTGACCCACCTTTACTGCCCCTTGTGGTGGGTAATTAGCGGCTGGGGGAGGCGAAGTGTGGGGCGGGGGAGGCGAAGTGTGGGGCGGGGGAGG